TAATATAAAAAATAATTTTTTAAAAGTGGCATTTTTGTAAAGATATCAAAAGTGTGGTATTTTTGTAAAGTGACACTTAAAAAATAGCATTTTTTGAAATTTCTCATTTGTTGTGTTGTTTATGGTGTGCCTGGTTTTAAAGATTTTAGAGACTTTAAAATGAATAAAAGTTTATAAAGCCAAAATTTTGCTAATCACATGTTAATTATCCTAATATCATTCACATGCAATTACAAAATTTCCCTTTTTTGTGGTCAAGAAATTAATTAAGAATAAGATGGATATATTATAATAACTTAGATACATGCATATATTTTGTAATTGGTTATTCAATTTTTTTTATTAATTCTACTAATATTATTTGAGAAGTAGAAAAATGAGACTGGTCTTTAATTTGACAGATGTTATATTGAATTTCCATTTGAAGATACTCTAAACATAAATCATATAAATACATCTCAACAATAAAAATATTATGTGACACAATCGGAAAAAAAAAACAAAAATTATAAAGTTTTTGTAAGATATCACAAAATCAGATGCTGAATCATCGATCTTAACCATTTTCTTATGTCAACTAAAATAAGACTACAAATATATAGTGACTTTGATTAAATATGATCGATTATTTACTTGTATTTATAAGAGAGTATGACAAGTAGAGAGTAAATGAATAAAACAATAGTTTTGAAATGAATCCAAAGATAATAACTAGCTAGTATGTACGGTTGACTAACGGTTTTGCCGTAATTTGGAAGCCATCGGGTTTTAGTTGGAATGAAGAAAAGAGCAAATCAGAATACAATTGTGACTATCTTATTATTATTATGTTTGGCAAATGCACCACCATGTCTAAAGCCGTAAAGCGTTACGTAATTTAACTTCATCCTTACGTAATTATGCTGTCTTTGAGCTCACACGTTGACCTTTAGTTGTTCACTTTGACCTTTATAATTATAAAACCAAAAAAAGTTTGTTTTGTATAATTTTTTAACAAAGACTCCATGAATCTCAAAGACAATGCATTTCTTTATATAGAAAAAAGGCAATGCATTTCTTTATATAGAAAAAGGCAATGCATTTATTAAATTTGTCATTGACTTATTAAATGGTACAAACCAAGCATATGGGAGCTGTTCCTGACCAAAATATAACTTCACATGCATCTTTAAATTTTAGATTTTTAACTTTAGATCTTGTGCAAGAGAAATGTCATTTGCAACTTGCAAGATTCATGAATTTTGTGATATACACTAATTACTGATTCTACCTTCATAGTTTTCTTTGTTTGGGCGATGATTCTTTCATGGGAACAAGCAACAATCTCCAAGAACAAGACTTTTACCTATTTAAATTGCCATGCTTTTTCCTTCAGTTTCCAGAAAAGCCGCCCTCTCTCGAAGAATCTTTTGCCCCATATACCTGCACAAACACAAATATAACTCTCCAACAATCCTTAACATT